GGAAAAGAAGAGATAGGAACAATAATGAATAGAGAGAATCATTGGTCAGCTGCCTCTGCACGCCCCCCTACTGGGGATGGAGCCTGCATCCCAGGGAGGCTCTTGACCTGGAATCTAACGGAGACCTCCTGGTTCATAGGTAGACGCTCAACCACGGAGCCACACCAGCTGGGCCTGAAAATTTGTATGTTTAACAAGTTCCCAGGTGATGTCGATGCTGGTTTGAGGACCATTGGTTTTAGGTGATGTGTGTGTGTGTGTGTGTGTGTGAGAGAGAGAGAAAGAGAGAGAGAGAGAGGTCTATCAGATGTATCTTCCACACCCACACCTGTTAATGGTAGTGTGTAGTAGGTGCGCAACCAGTACTAATTGTGTTCTACCCCTCTTTCCTCACCTTCTCCATCCTGTTCCTGCTCCCCACACAGTGGTCGCCCCCCAGGGCCTGCAGCTGCTCAAGAGCACGGAGGAGTCCCTGCTGGTGAGCTGGGAGCCCTCCAGCGAGGTGGACCACTACCTCCTCAGCTACCACCCCCTGGGCAGGGAGCCCTCCCGGAAACAGATACAGGTGCCCAAGGAGCAAAACAGCTACGACATCCTTGGTTTGCTGCCTGGGACCAAGTACATCGTCACCCTGCACAACGTGAAGAAAGGGGTCCCCAGCAGCCCCCAGCACCTGCTGGCCACCACAGGTGAGGGAGCAGCCCGGTGCCCAGGTTGCCCAGGAGAGGTGCCATTTCGAACATTTTCCTGCATTGGTCCCCACCAGTCCCCTTCCATGCTGTCCCCTGATTTGGGGCTGAAACACAGCTACTGCAGTCCTAGCTTCCGGAGGAAGTCTCAGTTCTGGCTCCCTGCTTTCTGCTCACCAAATATTGGGTCCTCCTGGCTGGTGACAGAGCCTGCTGAATTGTGGGACCCAAGGGGTCTTCTCCCCCTGATTGCCCTGCACCCACACACAAGCAGCCACACACCTGCATCCCCAGGTCCTCACTGAGCCTCTGAGGCCACTCAGCAGGTTGAAGTTGGGACAAGTGAGGATCTTCTGAGCCACCTGTGAGATTTCTCTCAGTAGGAAAGAAGGGGAAGAAATAGGTCACTGAAGAAAGTGTAATGAAAAGGTTATTTGCAGAGGTGTAGGCGGGGTTTGGATGATCTAACACCCTAGGGCCAGCATCAGTGGGGATCCACCCCAGGCTGAAGGGGCAGGAGGTGGGAGTTGGTACTGGGACCCAGAGAGCTGGAAGAGGCTGTCCAACCTCTCTAAAGGGAGGCAGGCCGTCCACTGTGTCCCCCGGAAGGGAGTGAAGGAGACCTTTCTTGCCCTCTGATCTTCTGGTGACTCTCACTGGTGGAACCCAACCAGAAGCCAGGGGGCAAGGGAACCTGGCTAACACAGGTCATAGAGGTCGTAATCTGGGATACAGAGCAGGATGGGGGTTGTCTGGAGGGACAAGCGGAGTCTCCAGGACATCACTGAACACTACGAAAATGTTTGCAAGGACCAGCATCGCTACTTACTCTTCAGAAATTCTCATGAAAGGACTTAAAGCTGCTTAGACATTGAAGGGCTTGGAGAAACCTTGTTGTTTGAGTGGTTATGATTCATTCCTTCACTCCTGTTGTTTGAGTGGTTATGATTCATTCCTTCACTCCACATATTTTATTGAACATCTACTATGTGCCAGGCACTGTTCTAGATGCTGATAAAAATGAGCTGCCTCCAGCCTTTCCTAAACTCCTGGGGAGAGATCCCGGGAGACCCAGATGGATGGGCCTTTGGCACACTGTGTCTTTGCAGAACATCTGGCTGCCTGTCCTCTTTGGTGGTGGGGCAGGGGTGGCTCAGTGCTGCAAAGGGCCGTGAGGGACTTGTCATCCTGGGAGCACAATGTGTGAATGCCTTTGTCAACACCCTCCAGCCAGTGACCCCTCTTGGAACATCCCTGTAGTTGAACAAGTTGCATTTATCAACTGTTGCAGCAGGGGGAGAACGCACACATTGGGGGACGGTGGGCATCTTAGTTGGAGAGTGTCAGAGAGACTGGTATAGAATGTGGGCTGTGTTCGGTGGTTTGGAAGGATTCGGGGAAGCATGCTGTCAGGAAGTGGGATGATTCTATGATTGGCATCTTGGTGATTCTTACCTAGAAAGGGGTAACCCAGAGGGAGGTTAAAGCTGTGATTGCCACAGAAGCAGCAGTCACTTAGGAGAGAGGTTTGTTTGGTCTTTTTGTGGTTTGGACATTGTTCACGGTTTTGCCTGTGTTCAGACATGCTCACGAATGGTCTTGTTTTGGTCTTGACCTGTCATGGCCGCAGAGTGGCTTGTCCGATATTGACGTTAGGTTCAGTGGGAGAACACAAGGCCTACGTGGGCGAGCCAGGCCGGCTCCCAGCTCTCAGCTGCTCTTCCCTCCTCCCCGCTCTGTCACTGCCTCTGCCTTCAGACAGAACAGTGCCCAAAGCCCCGAAGACAGACATCTGTTCTGATGTCTTAGCAGCCCCTCTTGGCTCCTTGCTCTGGGGACTTGTAAAATGTGACTGGGAAGCTTGTCTTTCTGTCTAATCTGATTCAAGTTCAACCCATTCTCATTTGCTCCTCAGGGGAGCCTCAGCCAAGAGATGCTCACCCCTAAGAATCGTGCACATTGTCATCACATCCCTGCTGTTTCGTTTGTGAGCTGCAGGACCTTCACCACTCCCGCCCTGCTCCTCCGAGGGACTGCCTGGGGAGGGAGAGCCTGCAGGCTAGGCGGGCAGGTGGGAGCGGGGGTGGGGGTGCCTCAGAGGGAAGGCTCTGGAGGCTCTTTGTCTCTAACGCAGTGAACACAAGTATTCAGAGCCGAGGGGCCTTGAGACCACTGAGCGAACTGCCCACTCACAGATTCTCTTTCCCACGTCCTTGATGGGGCAGTCAGCTGGGGTGGGAGCACCACCAAGGCAGGGAAGGTGGGGTTGGGTCTGAGAAGGGGGGCAAGGCTGAGAGTCTGGGGACTTGTCTCCCAGGCAGGCTCATCAGCTTGGGGTCTGGCGATTAGAATTCAAAGTGCCCCTAAGACCCCAACCCCTCTTCACCACTACCCACAGTTCTTCCCTTAGAGCCACTTCAGCAATCCATTCTTTTGTGTTAATCATTAAATTCTTTTCTTTTCTGAATGGAGGGGTAAAGATCTAGCCATTCACACTTTCCTATGAATATGTACAATGCCCACCCCTGCCCCTGCTCTGTCACAGGATGGACAGGGTGGGCAGCCAAGGATACCAGGGACTTGGTGGAGGTGCTAAAGTTTGGTCAAAGGTGCAGGAAGGTACTCAGAAGGACCAAGTTAAAGTTCGCCTACTTTATAGTTTTGCCTCAGGTTAATCTTCCAGGAGCATTTGGGAGACTGAGGAAGGAAGGGGTTGTGGTATCAGTGTTACACTCCAGAACATTCGAAATGTGTCCCGAACTTACGTGTGTGTGTGTGTGGGGGGGGGAGGGCTGGGCCTCTGATCCACGGCTAGTCATGGGGGGCAGGGGCTCTGCAGCTAGAG